GCCCATCCAAGATCATCGAAAGGAATAGTATAATTTAAAACAAACATATATCTTGATGTTATACAAGACGGCAAGCAGTGCACAAGTTCACCATTGAGGTTACTGACTCGGCGGGTAGCCTAAAACTAGCATAAAACAATTATTTTACAGCGCAGCTCTTAGGCGCCTTATTTCCGGGTTGAGCGGCGTCGGCGTAACCGCGCGCTCTGTATTATAGGACGTTTCACCGCTGAAGTTAGCGGAAACATTTTCCCGTTAAATTTAGCGGTTAAATTCAGGTCACGTGCCCTCAACACCGATTCAGATTCCCCGCTAAATTTATCGTGGGAAATCACGTCGCCACCTCTTGTCACGTCACGCATGAACAAATTCAGTCACAGGAGGAGAGGAGGAGCGAAGGCGCAGGAGGATGGAAGAGGAGGGGGAGAGGGAGGGGTGGAGTGTCACGTTCGCCCGGTCCGACACGCGAAATGATTGAGACAAGACCAGGTGAGACAAAGGCATGTACATACGTATTAAAATAATGAAAGGAAATCAGGAGGTAGTTATCAACAATAAAGAAAGAAAAGGAAAAGTTCAAAGCAGACCGGAGTTCCCGTGGTCAAGTCCCCACAAAAGCTCGACTCACGCCTGACGTGGCGGGGCTTCAGGAGCGTGGCGGGGCTCGTCGTGGCCTCAGGAATCGGAGCGTTGCCGGGTTCTTCGTGGCTTGAGGAACCGTAGCGTTGCTGGGCTCTCAGGAACCGGAGCGGGGCCGGTCACGGTGAGGCTTCAGGAGCCGGAGCGTGGCCGGGTTCTCGGGAACCGGAGCGGGGCCGGTTTCGGTGAGGCTTCAGAAGCCGGAGCGTGGCCGGGGTCTCAGGAACCGGAGCGGGGCCGGTTTCTGTGAAGCTTCAGTAGCCGGAGCGTTGCTGGCTTCAACAAGCGACGGGTCAGAACTCCCGCACCTGCCCGTCGTTTCTCGCGATCCTCTTCTTCCTCTCTTCTCTTCTTTTTCTTCTTTTCTTCCCAGCTCCACACCCGTGACAATGCCCCCCAACTTTGAGAAGTTCATCGTTGAACATCTTCTACACCGTCAATCTTGAAGTCCATTGGTAAAGCCTCGGACTGACGGTAATTCCTGCCGGCCCTTGCGCAGCACTCACTCTTGGCCTGGGCGATCTCGAGCCTTGGCAAAGACCGCATCCGTTCTCGTAGTACTCGCACGCGCAGCACCAGTCTACACTCTTGACCGCCCCCGATGTAACACAGCTCCTTCATTTCACGCTCGCGCGCAAAGTACAAAAAAAAAGTCATGCGTGAAGAACTTCGAAATAAAACTCAATTCACATTAAATTGCGTCCCTTTTCCCCCATCAAAAAAAAGAACCATGTTTGCACTTCGAAACCAGTAACTCGATCCCCGTATTACCCCATGCGCTATCGAGCAAGAAAAAAAAATAGGCACGAGGGCATTCTATGTCTAAGTTTCTTATTTACATCCGACTTAAGTAGTCTGCACCTACATTATCCTTCCCCTTAATGTATTCGACGTGAAAACTATAGTCTTGCATCTTCAAGCTCCATCGCATGACTTGACTATTGGTGTGTTTAGCCTTATTTAAGAATTCCAACGGCTGGTGGTCTGTTTGCACTCGGAAATGCTTGCCATATAAATATGGTGCAAACTTTTCAACGGCCCAAACTAGTGCCAGGCATTCCCTTTCAATCGTGGCATAGTTCTTTTCCGCCTTGCTTAACCGTCTGCTTCCGTACGCGACAGGGTGCAGTACGCTATCTTTTTCCAGTAGAAGGACTGCTCCCAAACTGACGCTTGAGGCGTCTGTACGTAGCACAGATTCCTTGTCTAGGACGAGAGCCATGAGGATGGGAGGTTTACACAATTCCTCCTTCAGGCGCTTGAATGCCCTCTCCCGCTCGTCGTCCCACTGCACCTCGTTGCGAGTTCCCTTTTGGGTCGACACTGTCAGAGGAGCCGCCACATCTGCATAGTTGGGAATGAATTCCCTGTAGAATCCAGTCAAACCCAGGAAGGACCTGACCTGTCGTTTTGTTGTCGGCCTTTGCGCCTCTTGGATCTTCGTCAGGATCTCCTGTCTTGGGGCTACTTGGCCTGATCCTAATCTGTGGCCGAGAAAGCTGATTTCGTGAAATCCAATTTCGCACTTTTTTGGCTTGACTGTGATCCCCGCATCGCGCAGCCTTCCGAATATAGCCGTTAGTGCATCTATGTGCTCCTCCCACGAGTCCGTTGCCACCAGGACATCATCGATATAGTGGTGTGCATTCGGTATGTTTCTTAGTAGGATCCGCATCAGCTTCGTGAAAGTCGCGGAAGCTGTCTTTAAGCCGAACGGCATGAATCTGAAATGATACAGACCGCTCAAAGCTGAGAACGCTGTTTTATGCTTCGATGATTCTGTCATGGGGATCTGCCAATATCCTTTGGCTAAGTCTAACTTTGTGAAGAAACGTTTACATCCCACTTTAGCAAACGTGACATCTACCCTGGGAATGGGCTCGGCATCGGCTACCAACACGTCATTTAGCCGCCTAAAGGCAGTGCAGAATCTGCTGGACCCATCCGACTTCTTCACTAATACTATAGGCGCGTTGAATGGTGATGTTGATCTCTCGATCACTCCCAGCCGCAACATCTCTGTTATTTCCTTTTCCACTGTTTCGTGTACCTTTATCGGCAGAGGGTACTGTTTAACATGCACTGGTGCCTGAGTTGTCAGCTTCAGATCGCACTCAATCAAGTTTGTCTTTCCGGGTAGATCAGAGAAGATTTCTTCGAATTCTCAAATCAAAGTCGCGACCTGTTTCTTTTCCTCTGTACTCAGGGCCATATTCACCAGTACGTCTTGCCCATTTTGTTGTCTTGTCAGGGACAGAGTCGAGACATCGTCTATGGCGTCTTCCTCGTCGTTTTTGTTGTTATCGTCAGTTGCTGTTGCCGCGCTGCATCTCGGTGCCGCCGGGTCCATATCGGTCCTCTCTTCATATTTTTTGAGCATATTTACATGGAAGGCTTTTCTCGTTCCGGCAATCTCCAGCTCATAGTCAACTTCATTTCTTCGTGCCGTGACGATGAAGGGACCCTTCCATTGCATGAGCCACTTGTTATTGTCGCTTGGAAGGAGGATTAGTGCTTTATCCCCTACCTTCATTTCTCGGTTGATTTTCTTCCGATCATAATACGCCTTGTATTTTACCTTGGCTTCATCCAAGCATTGGTGTGCCAGTTTGCAGGTCTCCTCCAGTTTGTCTCTCAGTTCCATGACGTAGCTGTACGACGTTTTTGTTTCCTCGTTCAACGCCTCGTTGGACCACACTTCTCTCAGTATAGTTAATGGCCCCCGTACCGTTCTCCCATATAACAACTCAAATGGAGAGAATCTCAAACTGGACTGGGGTACCTCCCGGTAAGCAAACAACAGCGCTGGCAGGTACCGGTCCCAATCCTTGGGCCTCTCCTGACACATTCTGCGTAGCATCAACTTTAAAGTTCCATTGAATTTCTCTACCAACCCGTTGCTCATGGGATGATAGGGAGTAGTCAAAAGGCGTCTCACTGACAGCAGGCGACCCACCTCCTTCATCAGGTCTGAAGTAAACGCGCTGCCACGGTCACTAAGGACCTCTCTCGGTACGCCGTATCGCGTAAACATGTCAACTAAAGCTTCCGCTACTACCGGAGTCCCGATGATTTTCAAGGCTACCGCGTCGGGGTATCGAGTAGCCACATCCACCATGGTTAAGATGTATCGGTTCCCCGAGTCTGATTTGGGAGCAATCGGACCAATGATGTCAATGGCCACCCTCTGAAAGGGAGTTACAATCGTCGGCATGGTACCTAAGGGGGCCTTGCCTACTCTCCCTTTGGGTACCGTCCGTTGGAAAATGTCACACGACCGCACGTACCTCTTAATGTCGCTTTGGACACCCGGCCAAAAGAACTCTTCAGACACTAGTGCTATTGTGTTGGTCACGCCCTGGTGGCCTGACATTATTCCGCCATGTGCCATCCCGGTGACAGTTCGCCGAAACTTTTTCGGGAGAACCAACTGGTCGGTTTTTCTTCCGGAACTGTATGTACAGCTCCTGTACAACAGCTCATTCCTAATGAAAAACTCGTACTTCGTTCTGCCCCTGTGCTTCTTGGTTACTTTCCCAACGTCGTGGAAGCATTTCTTCAGGGTTTCGTCATTCTTTTGCTCCTGGATGAGCTCCTCTTTAGTTGTTTGAAGCAGTGGTACTTTAGGTACTCGCAGTTCGGGAGGCGATGGCGGGGGTCGACATGTAGGTTTCTTGGTCTGCACAGCCCCCGCGGTGCCCATGAACTCTTTATCGCCCCGTTCGAGTAAAGATTCGTCAGCAGAGCGTTCTAGAGACTCCACATGTGTCTCTTTCGCCAGGACGCCTTCCGTCCCGGTCTTCTGTTCATCGGCTGGCTCTGTCGCCGACATATGAGCTTCCCTCATTTTCACATTCAAACTCAAGTTTGGATCGGGGTCATTGGCATCTCGTACAAGCGGCACATTTCCCAACACCAAATCGTACAGAGGGTCGTTAACACACTTCGCTGTTAACTTTCCCGTGTAGTATGATGTCGTAACCATAATCTCGGCCTCGGGAAGGTGCCTTACTGTTTTGTCCAGTAGAAACACCGGGCTCAATATTCCCGTGTACGCTTCCTTCGGAACCAAGCTTTGGCGAACAACGACGGTGTTGCAGCCCGTGTGCCTGAGGACAGTTACTTTGTGGCCACCCATATCTCCCTCTACAACTGGCAGATTCTCCACTAGAAACTCGGGAGGATGTCCTACTGCTGAGTTGACAACCGGAATCTTGTCACCATTCTTGATGGGTAACAAAGCCATCTTCGGGCTCGGTCACCTCTCCGTTTCTTGTCTTCGTCCAAAGACATGACGCCTGATGATTGGCGTTAGGCTTTGACCTGCAGCTATCTGCACGGTGTCCAGTTTTCCCGCATTGCTAGCAAGTAATTCCTTTGGAGGCCGGCGGACGTCCATGACAGTTTTCCGCCTTGTGCCCAATTTTGTTGCATAAAAAGCAACGCAAAGCTTTCCTGCCCCCTCCTGTTTTAGACTTATCTGCTAACGCCACACTAGACTGCTTATTCGTCTCGTCGATTTTCGACTTACTCGTAGTAGGCTGGGCCTGAGCCTCTAGGAACAGGTCCGCCTTCGACGCAACTTCTTGCAAGCTTTGGCATTCTCTCTCTCGGAGAAAAATAGTCAACTGGGTGGAGCAAGTGAGCAGAAACTGCTCGACCAAGACCTTGTCACGGAGGGCTTCAAATGTGTGTTGAATATTGGCCATCTCAACCCACCTGTCGAAATACCCAGCGAGACGGGCAGCCAACTGTCTCCTTGTCTCTCCCTCTTCGGGCTTTGCATCCCTAAACCGTTCATTATACCCTTCTTTAGTGTAGCGAAACCTTTGAAGCAGTGCCAGCTTCACTCTCGCATAATCCAGTGCGTCTTCTGGCGACAACCGACCCACTACCGTCAATGCTTCACCAGTGAGGCACAAACTCAGAGTTGTCGCCCATTTCTGCTGAGGCCAACCCATTCCCGTTGCAGTACGCTCAAAGCGTAGCAAATATGCATCTAAGTCATCCCTTCCTTCTTCGAACTGAGGAATTAACTTATGAGGGCTAAAGTGTCGCGCCTCGCCGGTTGTCGCGGCCAAGTTAGTAGCATCTCCTTCACCAATACCTTGGATTGCATCCTGACGTGGCGCCCCTGCGCTTTGTACTGCCAACCGAAGTTGCAGAACTTCGCGTTCTTTGTCCAACCGGACACATTCCTCCTCGCGTTCCTGTCGCGCCCACGCTCTTTCTTCTCGTAGTCCAGATTTTTCATCCTCCATCCATTTCTTCAACTCATCTCCCTGATTACCCAACTCCTTTCCCACCGCCATTAATTTCTCGTTCTCCATGATAGTCTTTTTGACTCTAGCAATTCGTGTGTGTCCCGGACGAAGTGGTCCAATTAAACTGATGGTAAATGGGATCCTGGCAGGCTCGCCACAATTGTCACGTTCGCCCGGTCCGACACGCGAAATGATTGAGACAAGACCAGGTGAGACAACGGCATGTACATACGTAATAATATAATGAAAGGAAATCAGGAGGTAGTTATCACCAATAAAGAAAGAAAAGGAAAAGTTCAAAGCAGACCGGAGTTCCCGTGGTCAAGTCCCCACAAAAGCTCGACTCACGCCTGACGTGGCGGGGCTTCAGGAGCGTGGCGGGGCTCGTCGTGGCCTCAGGAATCGGACCGTTGCCGGGTTCTTCGTGGCTTGAGGAACCGTAGCGTTGCTGGGCTCTCAGGACCCGGAGCGTTGCTGGGCTCTCAGGAACCGAAGCGGGGCCGGTTACGGTGAGGCTTCGGGAGCCGGAGCGTGGCCGGGTTCTCGGAAACCGGAGCGGGGCCGGTTTCGGTGAGGCTTCAGAAGCCGGAGCGTGGCCGGGGTCTCAGGAACCGGAGCGGGGCCGGTTTCTGTGAAGCTTCAGTAGCCGGAGCGTGGCCGGGGTCTCAGGAACCGGAGCGGGGCCGGTTTCTGTGAAGCTTCAGTAGCCGGAGCGTTGCCGGCTTCAACAAGCGACGGGTCGGAACTCCCGCACCTGCCCGCCGTTTGTCGCGATCCTCTTCTTCCTCTCTTCTCTTCTTTTTCTTCTTTTCTTCCCAGCTCCACACCCGTGACAAGGAGAGGAGACGAGGGAGGAGGGGAAGGTACGGGGGAGGAGGAGCACACCCTCCCTCCGTACCCTCCCCTCCTCCTCCAAAAGAGCTGCGCTCTAGTTTTGCGTTACATAATATTTCATTTTTCGTCTACAAACACATTATTGCTATGCCTCAAATATTTAGGATCGCGGCTAGATAGAGTCTTACAGTCGTTTGCAAAAGTACGAAATATCTATCTTGGCGATGTTCGTGAATCCGTTCTCACTTTACTCCGTATGGACGAAGCCACAGTGTACTGCTAAATTTTAAGCTTCATCTAACGTTTTACTAAAGGTCATTGAATGTTCCTTATGGCGATAAAAGTTGTAAACACACATTCTTGATGAACGCAAATCGATGGCGTTCAAAGAAGGGAACTGAAGTCACTGCAATACTAACACCCTACATTTACTTGCATATAAAAGTATGAAGATCGCGATTTCCGAACTGATAAGGACAGTGTTGCTACAAATAGCACAGTCTGTTGGATACGATTCGTAATACCCTTTATTGATTGTATAACGCCTGCATGCGAAAGGGAAAAGAAAACACCTAAATATATACTAAATGTTGAGAGGTAAGTGGAGTTGAATTTTGGGGGTTTAACATGCGAAACCATCAAATGATATCTGGTAGGTCCCAGCGGAGGTGTGAGGTGAATGTGGAACAAATATAATTTATTGTTGCTACAGCTAATCTTGGTTACACGATGCCTTCTCTGTAATAAACCTCAGTCAGATTGCAAGGACCACGGCTGGGATTCAAAGCAACAAACAGGGATCTCTAGGCTTGTGGTTTTGCTTTGGCGCCACTGAGATGGCTGGGTCGGTAGCTTGATATGAGCCAAACACTTTTTATTTTCGTTAAACGATAAACTGTAAATACTTTACAAAAGAACACAATGTTTGTAACATTCTATTAATTTCTCGCGCTAGAAGCATTTGATGCTCTAGAATGCCGAGCGGATTTTTCTTGTGTATTGCCGTTTGGCTCCCAGACAGTCATGAACCTTCTTTCAACACAGACAACACCGAGGAAAAGGACAGAAACAAGCAGATGAAGTCCTCCGAGAAGTCTGAACAGGCCGTCGTAACTTCCTTGAAAGTCTCGAAAGAACCCTGCAAAGGAGGCGAAATTAAGATGTAAAAAAGTGTCGCGTAGTGCACAACAATATATTTCAGACCCTCAGGGTCTATAAATAGTGTTTCGAGACTGATTTCCATGGCTATATATATCTTCAGCGCATATATTTTGAGTAGTAGATTCTTTTTGATAAGAAAATACGATGATTCTGTTAGGCAAATTGTTCATTCTGAAGGGTGTAAACACCTGGGGAAACAGATGATTGAGTGCAGCGAGAACAACCTTAATGTTTGACTCGTGTAGTGCTGCCGTGCCAGCTGCTTCAAAGAGGTTCTTTTTGCGACTATGTTGTATTTGCTGCCTCGATCAATGAGTTTTGAATGAAGCCATTATCTTAAACTTATCTTTAGTATGATCTGCTAGCGATGCTGACGACAACAAAGCAACAGACGTGTAACCTTCGTAATTGTGGAGATGGTCGCCTGCGAATGAGATGCTATAGATTGTCGATTATATGAGGCGGTCGAGCAATCGGCCGGGGCGTGATTTTCATGCCGTACATGATTCATTCCATCTGTAGTTGCTGTGAGAATAGCGTATTTGCATCCCTGTTTTCGTTTACAGGAGAATCCCGAAAAATTCTCTAAAATCGGCAGCACCTTGTTTTTTTTTTTTTTTTTTTTTTTTTTTTTTTGGACAACAGTGTTTGAAGGGTGTTGTGGTGACACCTTAAAGCCGCAATCACAGCGTTCAAACATCAAAACAGACACACTGTGCGATGCTGACATAAACATACATTTATGTAAGTACAGTTCTCAAGCGTTTTTGAAGCTTGTTTGTTTTATACATATGTATGATTAAAATATCTCTACTAAGAGTTTTTATATGAAGAGTGAGGGAAGATCAATTTGCAAGGTAGAAACATGACCGGACATTGTCTATAGGCAAGTTTATATAATCTAGTAGCAGCTTAAGTCTGGCATTAGTTTATTATCTATGGTGCATGCCGATTTATTTACTTAAGGGTGTAATCACTGTAATTTGAGTGCCATTGAAGCACCACTAAATTTCACTCTGGCGGAGTGCGTTTTCGCCCGCGACTTGCTAGTTCATGCAAATTACCATACTGTTTACGCTTTCCTATGCTAGCCATAAGCCTCAGGAGGAAAAGTCATAATTTGACAGAGATTCCATTATTTTGTGTTTGTAATATAGCTATACACCATCTAGAACACAATGCCTTTGTATTAATTCATCATTAGGAGATTGTGCACCTGCCCCAAGCGGGAAATTATCACTGAAGTTCGTCCAGTGACCAGAGTAAGTCGAAAAACGGCAGATGCCTTGGTTCTTGTCGTCATCGCTCACACAATTTCCCCCCAAAGGAACCAAGCGAAAGATGGAGGGTTGAAAGGTGGAAAGGACGTCTACGGTAGTGACCACACATATTTGTCTGCTGCCGCCAACTATTAAATGAAAGATCGTATATATATATATAAATATAGATGTAATATACCCAGTCAGTTTTACAACCGGATGCATAATAACCCAGCCGAAAATATGCAAACAAAATGACTGCTAAACAATATTAAACTAGATCAATTAGATAGATTTACATTAGCTGACCACAGCGCTTTAGGTCCCCTAAGCAGCTAGGGGCATGGCAAAGGTGTTAAGACAGAAGTTCGGGCGAGTTGGTTGCTCACGATGTACAGGGGGAACAGTGCACTTGCGAAACTGTCGCTCAAGTCTACAAGCACATAAAAGGAGACACTTACGCAGCGCTGACTAAAAACTCTCTGGTGTATTTACACTTTTGATGTTCTTCTATTTGCATTATAAACTGAAGCCAGGGAGCATAAGTGGTATTTTTTTATTTTCTTCCAATTTGAAGGTAAATCGAAAACTATGTAAATTGAAATTAATGAAAGACCAGGTAGTCTATTTATGTTAGGGATACGGTTAATGATGGAGTGCTAACGTATCTCTCGTTATGTTTTGCGATATTCTCTTTCTCTCTCGATAATTTCTTTTCTGAGCTGGTTGTGGTTCTTGCCAAGCACGCTTCTGTCATTCAGCAGCAGTGAGCAGCCACAGACTCGCAGTGAATGCCTAAATGTCCGGAGTCTTTGTTGGTGAATGTGTTCTTATATTCACGAAGGCGATCGTTAAGACACCTTCCGGTCTGACCTATGTAGAGTTGTTCACATGAGAGGGGAAGAGTGTGCACCACCCTCCCTGTACAAGGGACAAAGGTGTTCTTGTGCTTCTTTTTGCAGTCGACAGTTGTAATTTGTAGGGTATTTACTTTTTTGCACAAGCTGCGAACTTTGTTAGGAGGTGAGACGATGACTTCTTAGTTTACTCAGTTGGCTATTTTTTCAGTCCGTGAGAAATAATATGTATAAATGGCAGAATAATGTTTTTTTTTTTTTTTGTCTCTTAGCTTTCGTTGAGTAAAAACGTTTTGCCTGCTTCAGTTTATGAGCTTTTCGGCCACGGATGTTAATAACGAGATCGGATATCCTGCGCGCTTTAGTCTTTAATGCATCACAAACCCCCATATACTCCTCTGCCCATCAAGAGAGTAGAAACGTACCTGAAAGCGAATTCCTTATACCTTCTGCCTGCTGACGAAAGAGGTTTTGTCCACATGCGTACGGATACGTTTGGGAAAAAAGTATTAACAGCAGTCAAATCTGTTTTCAACTAACACTCGCAGATCTCTCTGGAAAAAGTTAAAACGGAAGTAAAATAATTTTCTCACGCGAACGATTTTAAAGCAACTCTGCTCTTTCTTCGATCGCACTAAAAATATGAGTCTAGAATTGTTCTTCAATGCCAAAACTCAGAAAGTACACTACCGCCAGCGGGTTGTCGTTTCAGAAAAGGGAACATGGCAAAAGTAGGTTGCCTTCTTTCTGCAAGCGCGGCCAAACATACTTTGTCACTGATGATCCATACCTAATCCACAGCTTCTACGAAGTCTTCAGATTCTCAGATGAGCATCATGACAAAGATCTAAAGGTGTTCTCCATCGACGTTAAGGATATGTACTATTCTTTGCCCCACGACCGCCTCTTAAGGTTCATAGAGGAAAGCATAGACACCCACGGTGCTATTGCCTTTGCAGATGCGTCAGGCTTATACCAAAGCAAATTTCTGACCTTCCTCAACATCTATCTCAAGTCAACCTACGCTACTTGGGATGGTCGACCCTACCTACAGAAGGGAGCTGTCTGCATCGGATCGTGCATTGCCCCTGTCCTAAGCTATCTCTATCTAGTGCACCACGGCACGAAGTTAAAAAGAAACATTAGTCGCCTCCAAAGTTATAAGAGTGTTTCTGTATGTGAATTACTATTTAATCGCTCTAGCTTCCGACATTCGCAACTTCACCAGCATGGTTGCCGACGTCCTGGACAGTTTTAAAGTCTACATGAGTGCTTTGGAAAACTTCCAAACGAGCGCTCTTTAAGATTCCTCGATCCTCGACTTTTCATGTTTACCACCATCTATGTTGGTCGTATGAGCCGAGGGGGAAATATACCGCTATTACCATTCAACTCGGTGGACTCAAAAATTGTTCAAAGGATCATTGTGTGGCAATGCCACAAAAACTCACTCACAAAATCCTGCTCGCATTTGATCCCAAAAGGCTTTGACGTGCAAGTCTCTCGACTAAATCGCGCAGGATATCCGATCTCGTTATTAACATCAGTGGCCGAAAAGCTCAAAAACTAAAGCAGGCAAGACCTTTGCACTCATCTAAAGCAAAGAAACAAAACAAATAAAAACATCATTGTGCCAGATATTCATAATTTTTCTCACGGACTGATGAAAATAGCCAACCGAGTTAACTTGGAAGTCATCTCAGCTCCTAAGAAACTTCGCAGCTAGTGCAAAATGTAAATACGTTAGCAATTACAACTGTAGACTGCAAAAAGAAGCATAAGAACACCTTTGTCCCTTGTACAAAAAAGGGGGTGTACTCCTTTCCCCTCTCTTGTGGAAAACTCTACATACGTCAGACCGGTAGGTTTCTTAACGATCGCCTTTGCGAACATAAGAGCACATTCACGAACAAAGACTCCGGATATCTAGGCATTCACTGTCGAGACTGTGGGTGCTCAGTGCTCCTGAGTAACTGCGCCGTGCTTGGCAAGCACCACAGCCAGCTCACAAGAGAAATTATCGAGGCAGATAATATCGCAAAACAAAACGATGCACGCGATCCCACTCCATCTTTAAAGTTACCTCCAAAAATTCAACTACCCAGTCTTACATTAATTTCAATTTAGTTAGTTTTCGGTTTAGATTTCTATTGAAAGAAATGAAAATCGGTCACTATTTCGGTTCTGTTAGGGTTTGGATTCAGTAGCATTATATTTTGTTCCGGTTCGGTTCCAGTTTAAGGTAGCGCACATAATATCACTCCGGTTACCGGCTTTAAAAGGCGCGAACCGGTTCGAAGCGGTTCCAAACTTGAAGTTTGAAAATTGACTGAGTACTTCCTGTAGCCTTTTCTGATCACAAGATTTTTGCAGTAGATCTATCCGCAACTGCTCCCTCTTCAGGCAGATATTAAAACCCGGCACAGTGGCGTGTCCAAAGGACACCCGTAATGTGGCAAGACTATTACTTGTATAACACGGTTCTTACCTGAACTATATATAAGCGATCGACTTTTCATAATTATAATGTCTTTTGCACACACAGCTGTGCAGTATTTCAATCTCTGCTAGAAAAGGGCGTAATTTCGGGATGGGTCTATTGACCTTTAAAAAAGAGCTTGCGGCCGGTGCGATCTTTAGTGTTCGTGTGCAGAGCGCGCGCATTTCTCGCTTTCCGAAGCGACGAACACGCACGTGATGGGTTGTGAAGAACGCACGCTGGGCTCTGATTTTGTAAATGGTAAAAAGGTGTCTAGCTGGATTGTTTACCCTCTATAGGTCTTTGCTTGTTTGGCTCTCCGCACCCTTTTTTTTTAGACATGATACATGTTTTCGGCGCCTAGTAAGATGTCGCAGCTACGCCCCAGAGTGGCTGACAGGAAAACGAGAGGAAACAAATGTGGAGTAAGACAAAGAAACAGGTACGGCGTGTGCGCAGTTGGGATAGTTTATCGAATCCTGTTAATCTGTGGTCATGTATACATCGGCCAGACTGGCCGCTGTGTCGATGACCGGGAACACGCGTGCTTGCACTGCCGCTGCGGTTAAATTTGTGAGGCGACCTTTCTCTACACTGCGCCACTTGCTTGTGTGTGCCGAAATTTGAGAGCATCACGGTTTCGGCGAAGGAGGCTGACAAGATTACACGGAAGCTGCTGGAAGCCTACGAGATAGGAAAGAAAGAAGTCCAATGCGTCAGCCAAACCTCAATGTATTTACTTAAAAAAGAAATAGCTTTTTGATCGCGTGTTGATGCAGCGATGGTCTGGTGATTTGGTTGTTTTCCATTCTGTTTTCTTTTCATTAAACGTTCTGTTGAAGTCGAGCGCTAGTCCTGTCCATTCTTTTACTGCCTCCGTGTTTGTTTCCGCGCTGCTACCAGTTTGTTACCTGTTTTCATTGTTACCAATCTCCTATGAAATACCGCCCGTGGTGCTTAAATGTTTAAACAATAAATAAATAAATAATAATAAACTACACAAAAAGTGGGAGCGTACTGAAATCATTATATTTATTCGGCATTATTTTATCCTACAGCGAAAGAGCACTATATTTGATCAAACCCCACAAGAGCGTTTACATGTTATGACGTTCCATGGAGTTATATATACTCATGGAGCCTTTCCGTTCTAGCTGATTACCATGATGTTGTCTATCGTCGACTTGTTGAAGTTGGCTCGAATCGGTGAAAGCACAAACTTGAGACCTGAGAAGGTTCGCTCTACGGCTGACTTCCGTAGCTGGCGCTGCCAGAGCAACCTTGGCTAGCTGATATAGTTCTGGTCGTTCAAGCTTGCGATTCCCAGCAATGGCCTACCAACTTGTTTTTCAGTAGGGGGTCGAATCCAACCCCCTCCCTTCCTCCCGGCCAGCATTTGTCCTGCCCATTGGCGGCTGTTTCAGGGGGGGGGGGGGGGGAGGGCAGAACACATGCCTCGCTCCTCCACAACTCTGAGAACTGGGGGGGGGGGGGGGGGTTTGCCGCCCCCTTGCGTCCCCGGTTCGTACGCCCATGGTTCTCAGTTACTTGTAACGTTACGAGTAAAGTAATCCGTTACTTTTCAGCGAACGAAATTAGTAATGATAATCCATTACATTAGAGGCTCTGTAATTTGTAACTGTAATCCATTACATTTTTTAAGTAACAAGCACAAGTCTGCTTCCAACGCGCAGCGCGTCGGCGAATCATCACCGAATAACGTTGTCTGCAACAAATTTTTAATTTTTTTTTTGTAAGGTAACATTTTGAACACGTTAAAGAAAAGATTGTTTTTCATTGAAATTCACCACAGCCAACCCTACAAACTATATTGCCGACACAGCGCGGTTCTTCTCCAAGCTTCCTTCAGCGTGTCGCTGCATTCAAGCGGAAGGTGACGTGGTGCGCTCTCGGTGCTCGATTGGCTAAATGGCCAATCGACGGCAACTGCGCTCCATCTTGAGGTCAAACATTCGCGGACGCATGGGCCTCTGTGCCAATAATGACGCAGTCCGCTACGACACTTGGACATTACGTAGCCAAGCGGCGAAAAGGTGCTTTGAAATCGCCGCCGCGCCACCAGGGTCCATCCAAGAAACAAAGTGCAGTTGAAGCACTCCAGATGCCTAAGTAGCGGCGGGAATTAAACGAGCTCGCTGACCACGCGGTTTCTTTCCGTCTCTGCTTTTAATGATGATGTATTTTTTTATTACGTACGCCATAAAAAAAAAGAAATGTAAAAATATCTCACAGTTTGTACAGATTAGTCTTGACAATATCAAAGAAATACACCCGCAAGTTTTCCCTTTAAGATCAATTATTGCCACAACTGGCCCTGAACCGCTTTCGTTGAATTGGTAACCGCCATATCAGATTATGGTTTCGTCCCGGTTCGGGTTCAATAGTACGGGTTCGATTTCGGTTTCGGTTTCGTACCGGTTCGGTCAAAAATAACCGTTTTGATCCGGTTTTTGGTTCATGTTCGGGTTCAGTTCGACACCCTGAATAAAAAAAAAAGAAGAAGTGTAACTATACCAGAGAGTTGTTAGTCGGTGCAACGTAAGTGTATCCTTCTTTTGTGTGTGTTTGTTGACTTGAGTGACTGTTTCGCGGGTGCGCTGTTCCCCTCTATAGCGTGGCAAAGAGCGTGCGAAGAACTACAACCCATGCACGATGCGGCATCCCAAGCGTAGAGGTTATCCCAAAGCATCGCGGTCCACATTCTGCAAGACCATAGCTTGTTCAGTCCAGTTTCTTTGATCAATACGGCCTTCTTTGCGCTGTTTTTATTCAAGGCGCTTGGGCTTCTCATTCAAAAAATCTCTCTTGTGTATGCTTGAATCGACTACCATTGAAGCCAACAAATTATAGATAGTTCATTGTATTCTAGGGAGCCACGCGATGAAAAATGCAACCCTGGGTTGGAATAAACTGCAGTAGTATGCGCCAATGGCTAAATCGATGATTAAACGCGTACCTTTATATTTTTTCGCAATTTCAAGAAAAAGGCTACAAAACCAAAACTTTGGGGTCAATACACGTCCAGCTTACGCCCTAATTAAAACACAGTGCAGATATACTTACCTATTATCGACGGACTGCCGAAACTTAGAGGCGTCGAGATCAATCCTGACAACCCGAAGCATGTCGATATCCACTGGACACCGATGTAGTCCGCGATGAGGACGCTTCTCATAGATTGCAGGCATCCGAAAGAGAGGTATGCGCACAACATCACAATAATGACGTGTAGGTGAATATTTGCATGCGGCATCAACATCATCGAACATCCCCATAGCAAAAAGCTTGCCATGATCAGGGTAGAGCGTCGGACGATTCCCCTGTCCGCTATAAGGGGAGGAAACAGCCGCCCGATGAGCTCACTAAAAGACCCGTAGATGACCAAAGACTCTGCGTCCTTAATAGAGAAGCCTTTATCTTCCACATAGTCAGCGAGAGTCGAAGTATATGCAGACCCCGTGAAGTCTGTCACCACTGTCACCGCAAGAACAACGTAAATCATGGGATTACGTAATACCTTCATCGTTGGAGAAAGTTCCCTGATTTGATTTGCAGCAATGGTCGTTGAAGGTTTATCAAGCAGTTTTACATTAGCCAGCATATCCTTCGTTTGGTCCGAATGTTCCTCACTTATATTTTGCCCGCATTCTTCGCCTGTCTGCAAGCTCATCCAGGGTGGCTCCTTGACAAAAAGACCGATTGCCGAGACGTGCATCGTAAGGCCTCCGTAGATGAGAATCATTCCGCGGAAACCGTATTCCTGCGTTAAGTAAGCGAGAAACTTTGGAAAAACCAGACCAGCACATGAATATCCGGCATACTTGAGCCCCGATGCCAGGCCTCTGTACTTGTCAAAATACATCGCCAGGAGGATGCTAAACGTCATGGTGGTAATACCAAGTCCGAGACCTAAAACAAAGTACGAAAGAGACTACCTTAGAATCAAAGAATAAAGTACAGTTTAACAACATGGTTTTGACACTGAAAGTTTAGGTGTTTTGTGCTGAGTTTCTTCTCAGTCATTAGTTTACTTTCAATGGCAATAAAGAAAGCTGTGAAAATAAAATTGGCGGAAGTACTTATTTTTACAAGTGCTTAAATGCGCAAGCTCCTATACTCCTGCGAAATATGGCTTGTGAACTGTATGTGGCCAACAATTTAGTTGAACAAGTATTCTACGCAATTTGTTTATTAAACATAAATCTGGTATCATAGATGGCGACTCGGGCGCATACTGTAACTCTAAAAATGCTTGCCTGAGAACGTCATTCTCTTTTTTGTTTGTTTTACAACCTGCTTCTTTCTGAAGAACGTACCAAAATTAACTGGACGCGGTAAGAAAATTAAAATTGTGAGTAATTTTTCTTTAGCTCGAGCGTCACCTAAGAAGGTCTTGTCTATACTATTTTCACTTTAAGCGTTAGATTGGCAGAAGCTACAAGAGTGAGCTCCAGGCTGTAAGCGTTCCTGCCGAGCATACAAGCTCGTATATTGCAAGCACTGTTTAGAGACACATGCTCGCTTATGTAGCTCCAGCTTCGCTTGCGCCTATAGTGAAACAGAGCCTGGGTAAACGATGTTCTTGGTACACCGCCAATACGACTAGATATCACCGATGATCCATAACTTTCATATAGGTAATTTCAATCTTGATAGTGTTTTAGGTAACATCAAGACCATGTGCACAAAAGTTCAGACTTGTTTTCGTGAGAGTAAAAAATATGAGAATTGGGATGACGAAAAAAAACTATCAAAAAGGTGGTCATAACTTGCGCCTTTTTTTCTGCAGTTCGTAATGCCTTATTTACACTAAACAACCAACGGACAACTAACCGACAGACAACCAACCGTCACCGACAAGCCTCATGCGCGTGCAGAATGCACGCGAAGGTAAAGTTTCTAGACTTGCAATCACTTTCGCTTACACTACGAGCACCGAGGCAGTTCAATCGTCGCAAAGGACGCATGAATATCTCAGGACCCGTCTTCACACCGTCCTCAGTGACGCCGGAAAATATTTCAATCTCAGACTGCCTTGCGCACCGACGCATTGGCATGCAAGCTTCCATCCTCTGCTTGTCTCTCGGGTTCATCAAGTTTAGTCTACATCTGCTCCATGACTGCGGTCGGCTTCGCCTACCGGCTGTCGCGGGTGGCTCTAAAGTTAATCGTCACACACACAAAAAAGTCGTTTACAATTTTTGGTAATGCCGCATTAAAGCGCAGCTCTTGAGGAGAAGGAGGGGAGGATATGGAGGGGAAGGGCATGCCCCTGCTCCTTCTTCGCACACTCGCATCCGGCTCTTCTGCTCCCCTCCCATTTAGAGAAAAATATTTGCTAAATTTCCCGCGAAATTAGGGAAAGTTGTTGCAACTACGTTTAGAGGGGGAATATTCCCCCTGAGCTTTGCAGGAAAATTACAAAAATATTCCCGCTAAATTTAGTGGGTAATTTAGCAAACATTTTCCCGCTAACTTAAGCGGGGAAGCAGAATTGGCATTGAGGTCACGTCACCCCAATGTATTTATTTATTTATATCCTTCAGGGCCCGAAGGCCTTAAGGAGGGGAATGAGGATAGCAACAATATACTAAAAAAACAAATATACCTATAGCTTGTGTGTTAAAATGGACAAAAATATAATTTGGACACATGAACAAATTCACTTAAGAAGGCAGATATAGAAGACACAAAAAACAAATCGTCAATAGCAACTCGAAAATTGGAGCTCTCGGAAACCTCGACTACAGCTGCGGGAAGATCATTGCAGTCCAGTAACGTTTTGGGACCAAAAAACGGAAAAAAAGAGCGTGATGTACTACAGTGAGCAACGCCAACTCTATATTGATGGTCGATGGGCGATTAGATATAAGAAGGTTCTATTAACAGAAGCTGGCGTATTGACGAGTTAAGATAATAGATTGTGTGAGATGAGCACACAATTTCCTCTCTAAATTTATCGGAAAAAGTTCTCCGCTAAGTTTAACGGAAAAATGCCTTCGCTAAATTTAGTGGAAACATTTCCCGTCAAATTCAGTGAAAACGTGTTCCCCCAAATCTAGGGGGAAAATTTACCTTCATGACGTCGCACGTGACATCGCACGTAACGTCGCACGTGACGTCGCACGTGACGTCGCACTTGACGTCACTTGTGACGTCATTATGGGAAACATCTCATTATGCGAAGCTCGGTTACGCCAACGCCGACGGCGACGCCGACTCCGCTCAACCAGGAAGCGGGTGCCTAAGAGCTGCGCTTTAAAATGAGTTTTGATGAGCAAGCGCGTTTTCTTCATGACAAAGGGGAATGAACGCCTGCAGAAGTCACGACCTCTACAGATTTTAAAACACGGCGCCATTGTCAGCGGTTGTGCCTACGGCTCCCAGCATGCTCGCTTTCGAAAGATGCGCTATGACGATTCGCTCTAGAACAGCCAATCGTCACAGCTACTCTAAATCTCAGCTGTTCGACAGCGATTGACTGATTGCCAACTCTTAAACATGACGAAAACAGCCGCCTCGCCTCGGCAATGACATGGCAAAGCGGTTGTTTGATCCATATTTACATTGCGACGTTCATCAGCTGAGTTTACAGATGGTGATGAAAAACACCAGATACACCATGCGGTAAAAATGGGAAACCTGCTAAAAAAGAACGTTAACAGGAAAAGGATCGTATACTTGGCCCAGAGACTTAAGGAACATTTGGTGGGGACGCCTCAAATATCTTGCCACTGCTATCTCATGGAACGCGGTTGTTCGTCTTATATTTACATGGCGGCGTTCGTTAATTTAGTTTCCCAAACCTGATGGAATCTTTCCGAAACTGTGGTGACAGATGAGAAAAATAGTACACAAAATATACCGGGGAAAAGTATCTTCTCATTGTCCGAGAGACTGAGGGAACATTTCGTGGACGAGCCTACTTCGTTGCACTTCGGTCCACATATGGAAAATACAGAGGCCATATCCTGCCCTATATGATATCTTGTTGCCAAAGGTACACTGACGTTCATGCTGCACGTGCTCGGTGCATGCCGATGTATGATGTTCCTGCTTGTCGCCCCAGTGGGAATTGTTCGTTAAAAATAATGGTAGGAAAGGCAATTCGGTTAACAAGACTGCCACAACATGAAGACGGGATGCTTCGTCCATAGTACGCATGTGCTTCAGTGAGCTTATGCGTCAATACTAGCAGCCATACTTGTGAAACATTTAATTTCGAGCAAATGACTGAGAAGTAAAATGTAACGGCGGTACAAGTTAATTTGTTCCGTTTATTTCTACTTTGACGTAGTAAACCACGAGTAGTTTCTACGTAAGCTCCGTGTACGGAGTTTTCTCTGGAGAAACCATCTCGTTTTAGACTTATCTTGCCAAATGTAAAAGCAGGTCGCGAATTATGAAGATTATTTTGTTGTACTTATGCTCCTTCTCTGGTGAGCCGCAGGGGTCCAACTTGTGATCAACATTGTATTATATATTTAGTAATGATATTGTGTTCTGGTTAAATATTTCTAAATTGCTATTATTTGCTGATGACTTGAAGCAGTCTTTGAATGTCTTGTAGCTCGCTGATGTGCACTTTGGCAAGACGACGTGTCACGCGTGCGTGAGTGGTGTTTGTGAAATTATTTCTCGATCAAACCTGATGATACAAAAGCGTCACCAAAGTGTAGAAAACGGGACGCGATTTTAAAAGGCTACGCTCTTGGTTTCTTTCTTATTTTACGTGTGATTGTAGTTTGTCGCCTAGGTGTTAATTTCGATACTAATATTATTTCAATACCCTTTTCTTTAAAGTGTTGGTTCAACTGCAATGGCATCATTTGCAGTGTGACCTAGTAATTAAAGCTTATACTGGTTGAGTACTACTCCCTTATTCTGTACACTGATACCTTCTCGCCTCATGTTCCCATGCCTTGTAAGGATTTCTGTGACAGAAACTGATGCAATGGAATTAAAAAGAAAGTACACAAGACATTTATTTTAAATATTTACGATTCTTATTTGGGGCGATGATGTTTGTATTAATAGGCCTACATATTTTGTACTCTCAGCATACAGATGTTATCAAGTCCGAGTTGAGATAAATATTTGAATATTGCATAGACTGTGTCCAACAGCAGACCCGTATTTGTATTATGGTTTTGAATACTTTTTTATTAAAAATTATTTTTAGTGTTAATAATATTATTATTATTATTTCGTTCCTTCGTGGGAAAACGTTACTTACGCTATACTTTCGTGTCATGGTAATAAAGGTGTATTTGAGAAGTGTCGATGTGTCGGAGAATTGAACTATCCTCCACGTAATCGACCACAAACGTAATGGAGTAACGAAGTATCCCAAGTTGATCATTCTACGAAGCCTGAAGGACATAGGATACGTGTAAAATGAGCTAGGTCGATGCTATTTCTGTGTGTGTGTGTGCCGTCATGCGATGTCTTGAGATCACATGATGTCAAGATGTGAATTGAGGTTTTCTTTTTTTTCATGCTGCTCGCCGTGATTCTTAAACAAGTTGCGCATACATTGAATATAGAAGCGCACCTAAGTATGAAATATCTTATCAATCAGGCCATACACATATTGACACTTTACCGTATCCCTGGTTATGCAGTTTTATTGATCCACACATTCAACAAAAAAGCGTTCTTAAAACAGTCTGTATTAGTCGATAAGCCACAATATTGGAAAATACAGTGAGGGCGCACTCTATATTGTGTAAGCATACCATTTTGCTAAGACACACTGAGACTGTGTGAAATAAAGCTTGAAATAACCCAAAGTAGAAGGGACAGGGAAAGCAATCAGAGGATGTCAAAAACCAGAACACACACTCAAAAATTTCCTTATATTTTTGCACGAACTTCGAAGCCACCAATATGCACACTTATGACATGCGATGACCATGCACGGTTAATCTAGCTTCAAACTGAGCTCACACTTCTGAGAACTCCCAACCAGCCCCGAGCGACCTTGCTGGCCAAGCCCACCGAACTGATAACAAACCCCAAATAGAACAAAAGACATATTACCCATCATGCTTTTTTTCACCTTCACACTTAGGTTAAACATTCCACATACTCTGGAACTGCTGCACTAAACAAAAAAATCACGCATATACACACAAATGCAGTACCAAAAAAATTACAAACGCAGAAATACCTTTGTACTCTCAGGTAGGTACATGGAGGCGAGGCATAGACAGTCGCCTATTGATTGACTTCTAATTGTTTCTCTTTTGAAACAAGACTGGGTCCAGTCTTGTTTTGTTTTTTATTACATAAATGATATCATTAATGAACTGAGCCTTGACGTTATAGCTCCAATGTTTGCGGACGACCTGTTGCTCTATACTGAAGTGCGCAAGGCCATGGATCAAGAAATACTAAACACGTCTTACACCTATGTTAAGAAATGGTGTGAAAAAATGGTGTATGGAAATTAATCTAGATAAAACTGTATCCGACAGAATCGCTAACCAAGAAGTGAACAGCCTCTGCTACTCATGTGGAGTTGGAGATAATCCCATAGCTCTTGTAGATCACTCTAAGTATTTAGTAGTTCGGATATCAGCAGACCTCACATGGAATCGCCACATCGATAATTTGTGAAGTACGACTCGAAAAAGGTTTTGATATCTGAAAGGAAACCTTTGCCATACCTCAAGTAAGATGACATTGACTGGCTACACAACACTTATACGGCCCACCCAAGATATGCCTGCACGGTGCGAGATCTGTACCGAAGCAATCGGATTGAAAAATTAGAAAAAAAAATACAAGGACGGGCTGCACGCTTCATTCTTTCGAGACACCGCCGAATGGACTCGGTTAATGGCATGCTAGGGTAGCTCACTCTCCAACCTCTTAGCACGCGCCGAGAGATATCAAGGCTAAAGCTCCCTTATGTGTTTGAAAAAAGCTTACTAATTCTAGACGCATCTCATTTTTTACAACCACGTTTTACAAGACCAGTAAGGGACCTACTAAATAAGGCAATGCAAGTTCCGCGAACTAATAATGTCATGTACAAGTATTCATTTTTGGTTAAAATTGTATAAAGGTGGAACAAGCTCCCCGAAAGGGTTGTAAATTGTGATTCATTGGCCTTATTTGAGAAATATTTACTTGAATTATACTAGATTTCTCATTTCTGTTTATGAGCGTGTAAGACCAGTGTTCTTTCCTTCATTAGGTACATCAACTGCTTTTGTGGTGTGATGTGAACCAGCACGGTATTTCATATTGATATGAAATGTATAAGGTGTTAAGAAATGTACAGCATGTTGGACGATATGGCAAGTATGTAAATTGACGTTCCACTCCTGTAAAGCGCCCAGGAGGGCGCGCAGTGTTTAGGAAAAAAAAATATTTTCAAACCATTGATTTCTTTGAGTAATACTTCTGTTCTCGACCAGTGTGCCTTGCTGTTGCATTCTTTTTTTATGTGTAGCTATTTCAGAACTTTCCACTTTGATTTGAAGTAGTACAAAAAGAGGTCCATGATGTCACTGATGTCAATTACAATTAGTACACAAAGAGGACACGTGATGTAATATCGCCTTACGATACCTCAAGCTAGAGCTCTATGACGGCACGGCGTCAAGTGACGTCATGGTGACACCAGACAACGTCAAGTCACCTTAGATTAGGACATCATAATATCGCGTGACGTCGTTACGTCATAAATCTCTGCCATATGATACCGTGACGGCATATCTTGACGTGCCTCTGGCACGTAACAGCATCACGTGAAATCAGGACGTAATATGATGTCATGATGTCAATTCACACCCTGATATCACATTACACCGCCACGTCGCATGACGTAACAACATCACGTCGCATCGTGAAGTTATAGTGCTGGGTCACGTGACTCCATGATGTCACTTTACGTCATAACGTCAGGTGCCTATGAAGTCACGTTTTCAAGTGTCATCGGATGACCCGTCATTACGTATGACATCGTGCACAGTCACAATTTGTTTTTCCTCGGGTTTCCCATTCTTGCTTTTCAGAGCCCATTAAGCAGTTCAAGATTGGAGGAAACATTGTTTGTGGAAACAGAACGATGATTACCATGAATCCCTCCGAGTGTCGCTGTCATCCAAGCCATGGTCGGCACAAAGGCGGATGCTACGATTCCGGTCCAAGACAACAGACCTCCGAGAAGAAATATCGTGAAGAGGGATAACCGCCGCTGTAGAGTTGCTAACGCCAAACCTGAGGAAAATATTTGACGTGAGGTCAGTTGAGGAATTTTTTCAAATGAAGTTCTGTTTAAAAAATAACCGCACAAGGGCAATTTTATGAAACAATCGTTGAAGCTTTTTTTCATAAAAAAATCACAATAACTCGTACTTTATTTATACTAAAATAAGTTACAATTATGTATTTCAATATTTTCTAACTTTCCGAGTTTTTTTTTTTTTTTTTGTTAATATATACGCTTTGCAAGTGGGCTCATTTTCGTCTTCTGCGCAAGAGAAAGGAAGTAGCGGTGACGTCTGAACTCCGAGCCCTGATTGGCTGATCGCGACCCCCTATCTCAGCGTCGTCTGCTCCTTGGCAACGTCGTCTGCTCGCAACGTCGTCTGCGTCTGTCTTACCTTTCCTGCGACTTTCGGAAGTGCATGTCTTTACGAGCGAGCTCGACTTGGCCTTTCAGAGAGGGCAGACGAAATAACTCGAGCGGTACGTTGTTTTTGTCTAACAACTAACGGACGCGCATCAAGGAGGAAAATCAAAGGACTCACTGGCGAGGTGCCCCGAGGCGCCGAGGTTTGTTTGCTAAGAACCGAGAGGGGGTGAGCGTGTTAGTGTCCGCAAGTTCCCTCCCAAATACTTTTTCCCTCCTTTCGTGCGCGGCGAGACCCCTCATTATTTAACGGCGTCGGCGGGTTGGCTCAGTTAACGTCGTCTGCTTTACGTCTGCTAGTCAAAGCGATGGCTGCTTTACCTTTCCTGCGTCTGTCGGAGATTCGCCGCTTTTTCACCGGCGAGAGTCACCGTTGCCTCGGGAAACAAGGAGATAACAAGAGGAATAAATTGAACTCTTAATCTAAAATTGAGGTCAGCGATCAAAGTATAATACGGGAAGGGTTCACAAGGGTCGCGCGGGCATATTCCTTTCAGCACGCCAGCCGGTCGAGGGCAGACGGTCGCCGAGTCGCGGAGTGCCTGCTAGGCCTAACTGCCGTGCTCGCTTGGTCGCGTTCGGTGGAATCGTGGCCATTGGAGCTTTCCCGAGTGTTTGTGGATCCAGCGTTCTTGTTCGTCGTGGTCTGTTTCAAGTACTTTTTTTACATTTTTCTTGCTGCTTGAAGTCGGGAAGCGTGAGAAGCGCATGTAGAAAAATTAACGTCCGTGGGTCGTCGCGACCGCGACGCTGTCGGCCATGCTGATTTGATCGTAAGAAGTGCGTAAGACAGCTTCGGAGCTGTCGTAGGATTTCGTCGTAACCTGCGCAAAACTTACGAAAATTTCTTAAGTTTTGTCTTACGCACATTTTTGGCGTAAGATCGTTTCGTGAATCTGGCCTCTGCACTTCCGAAAGTCGCAGGAAAGGTGAGACAGACGCAGACGACGTTGCGAGCAGACGACGTTGTAAAGGAGCAGACGACGCTCAGATAGGGGGTCGCGATCAGCCAATCAGGGCTCGGCGTTCTGACGTCACCGCTACCCCCTGCGCAAGAAGCAGACGAACTTGCCCTCCGCATACCGCAAAGCTTTTAATGAAGAAATATAGGTTTACGCTTGTTTCATCCAAACATTAGAAATACCAATATCCATCTTGATCTTTGAAGTTACGCAGCACGCAAATATTCCATCAAAAATAGCATGGTAGCTGGATACCCACGCAGTCATACACGTGATAATTTTTTTTTGGTATTTAATAGCTAGGTTAGTGATAGATATGACGCTCGCCTCCTGTTTACGTACCAGACAACTGGCCGATAGCGGTGAGGACGCTTCTGGGCCAAGCAGCGCTTTCCCGGTTGACGTCGAATTCTTCAATGAAACCCACATAGAAAAATGTGGAGTTGGACATCGTGACCGTGACAAGAAAGGCCGTAAAGAATCCCAGTGCGGCAATGTGCCAGCACGAATCGACTCCAGTTTCGTTTTTCTTTGTGGTCTCTGCCTTTTCCGGAGCACTCGTACGTACAGCTGCGGGGCACATTATTATTCCTGCGTACAAAGCATAAAAAACGAACAAAAAAAAGTATTCGTCGAAGAAAAATAAACAGGTTCACATGGTTCAGAGCTTCTAATTTGTCTAAATTATGTCTCGTTTAATAAACATAAACTACTTAAAAACAAAAATTCCTGTATGGAATAGTTTCATTATTAATCTCCTTGGCCATGGAGATGCATAAGGTGGTTTCGAAATCGATTGTCCCGTTGACGAAGTATTGCATTACTGCACTTAATTGAAATGAAGGAACCGCTCGTTAACAATGCACCCATTTAACTTTTTATGATCATCCGTTTAAACACGATCCTCCAGCGGCCGCAAGGACCTGCCTAGGCTTAGGGAGGAGTAGGAAGATGGCATGCTTTGTCCCGTGCCTTTCTCGCGACCTGGCTATCACTCCAGAGTGCAGAATGATCGTTTCGTCTCATGGATAATTTACGAACCCCATTGAGGAGAAGATAACGCTGGATGGCCGTCGTTGTATACTTCTTGGCAGTACCGTCGTAGTCTTTTTTGCGCGCGGACATACTCTGGCACGTCGGGAGCCCACAAACTATGTTCTCCAGCATTTGTTTCTTATTTGTAGGCCATATTTACATCATTAAATATAGCGAAAGTCACATATTTAAAGAAGAAATCAGCGTATATTCTCATGACGCCATGTCGTAAAGTGAGGTTGGCAAATCGAAAACGAAACTGTGGCTAAGGGGCAGCAAAGATGCTTTGCACGGCACTACGCCGCTAGGACCGCTTCTAACTTCCTAGAGGTCGACTCACCAAAGAGAAATGATAATTTCAGGTGTTACGTAGATCCCCATTTTATCGGGCGCGTACATTACAATTGCAGTCTATTTCAAATTTCCAGCACTCCGAAAATTCTATGCAAAAGTATAGGAGCCTTGAGCGCCTCGATCGAAGTCACGCTATCATGGACATTGGATACATCGAACCACGTGCCGCACTGCCGCCCTCCTGGTGAGTAGGCTTTCCCCGAATGCTACGCTGCCGCTCCCGCAATAGACCCTTGCAAGACGTCCCTCAAGCATTGTCGATAGTCTCCATTCCTTGAGCACGAACCGCCCGATTGGATCCGAATCGTCGCCGAACACTGACGCAGCGCGCGTTTTCAATGCGGAGCGGAAGTTTGTCGGCTTCTTGCGCAGGGGTTGTGATAATGTCCCAACGCCGAGGTCTTGTTGATTGACTGAGAAAAGAAAATAGTGGGTGGACCTCAAGGCATCTAGCATTGAGCTCAACACACTATTCTTCCAATCAAAGCCAATTAGAGCACGGTGCTTTTCTGACGTAACCCTCTGCCCAAGAAGCAGACAACTTGCACCCCGGATGCGCGCTGAGCCGAGTTCACTCAGAACGCTGACGCAGCCCGCGTGTCCAGTAGACCTTTCTATCGCTTATTACCCTCGCAAAAATGATCAGTGACTGAGCTGTGCACGAATGGGCAGCCTCTTATCGATACCGCATGCCCAAAAGGCGTTCCACAGCCCAGCAGACAAAGATGGCAGCGCGCAGAAGGCGACCTTTGCAAAGGTATATGCGTGCACAAAGTACGTGATCATGCAATGGCCGAAAGCTGATGGCGCGAAATTTCGAAAATGGTCTATTGGTTTCTGTGCGCTGACGAAAAATCAGAACTCGTGAGTTGGTTTCCTGTGTGTAGCGACGCCTACTGTCATGGGTTGCGGTGCTTAGAAGCCAGCACCTAGACAAACGCGTAGACACAAAGCGCAGGTTTGCATGTTGGCAAAGACGCAGAAGGGATTTGCACCGAGGCTGGAGGAGGCAGAAGAGAAATCTAGGTGTGTGCGAGTTCCATTTTGAATGGAATACAATAGCGTCATCCCTCTTTACCACTGTTGAAAAATCTGATTGTCCTGCGTTTTTCTTCCAGTGTGATTGTTATGCCTGGCATAGTGCTACTCGATTCAAAACAGTATTCGCACACGCATTTTAAGTTCTCACAATTAGGGGTGTGCCAATAGCGGTTCGAATCGAATATGACTGAGTCAGTCATAACCTTCAGAGTGAAACGTGAAGCCACGAAAACTGTTTTTTTTTTTTTTTAACAGTGCTGAAATTGGTGAGGACAGGAAGGGAGAGGAGGAGAAAAGGAGGAGGAGAGAAGGAGGAGTTGGGGATTAAGAAGGTGGAAGAAGAAAAAGAAGGAGGAGGATGAAAGGAGGTGGAGGGGAGGAGTTGGGGATTAAGAAGAGGAGGGGATAAAAGGAGATGGAAGAGAGGAGGAAAAGTGGGAAGAAGGAAGAGGACGTGGGGTTGAGGAGGAAGAGAGGAGAAGAGAGGAGGGGAGTTGGAGGAGAAGGAAAGGAGGGGAGGTATAGAGTAAAGGGATAAGGTATAGAGTAAAAGAGATCTTCAACATCTATGAAAACTCCCCCCCCCCCCTCCCCCTTCCTGAGCCTTCCGAGATCTGCGAAGGTACCAGTGCTGAGGGTATATATGAAACACCGCGAATTGCACACCAAAGCGGATGAAAGGTCTCTGACCAAAACAGGTGCTCCTGGAGAAATCGACTTTGCCAGGTACCCCTCTCTGTGTCGATGGCCTGCAAGGGTGCATGTACGTTATGGGTCTTTACAGGAGAGAACACATCGAGATTTTTTTTTTCATCGCTTGCCCATTCATTTTAACAGCTTGATATGTTGAAATTTCTTGCACAACTTAGCAGTCACATGATTGACCTCTTTTGACTTAAAGGCCCGATCACACACGTGCGGTAGGAACGACCAGTATGCTTACGTACAATTGCAACCGCTGCGACTTCAACGACGACTGTGCGGGACGTGTACACACACATGCAACCGCAAGCAACCACACAAATCAACAGCCAATGACAAACGAGCTTCAGCTCTTGCTCCTAGCCAATAGTAAGCAACCCAGCTACGCTTACAAACATGGCGAATGGTTTCGTGTCCGATGCGAGGTCCTCACCGGAGCAGTCGGAGGTTTCGGCTACGGCGTACAGTCACGAAGATCTGCTGTGGGCCTATAATAGCTGTAAAGGCTGGTTCAGATATCTGAAACGAACCCGTTATCCACTAAGGTGGCGATGCAGGCGATTTGGTTATGCATGTTGAAGGTAGTGAAAGCGCACAATAAAGACGAATGCGGAGACGGAGAGGCCTCTCCGTCTTCGTATTCGTCTTTATTGTGCGCTTCCACTACCGCTATCCACGACTGCGTCCGTTGTGACCGGAACGACCGAAACGACCGCTCTGCGCCCCGCACACACACCTGCAACCACTGCAACAAGCGCAGCGGTTCGGCACCACGGCGACCGCCTGTCCGCCGCCGTCAGCTGTTTCAGCGGTGCCTCTAGAAGGAAGGGGATGCGCTGCCACTTACTTGCGTAACCGAAAATAGACAGACCGTCTTCTAGGACCTCGTGCTTTATTTATTCTTTTCAGGAAAACCTTGCAAGATAGTGCACTGAAAAAAAGAAGATGCAGTACGCCGTCTTACAGGATCACGACTTTATTACACGACTTTGCCAACAGTACAAATCTCGCCACACGCTTTTTCTAAGATTATAAAAGACGATTTAACCTAATCAGCGATATAGCAAGGTAGAAATATAATTTTGTGGTCAGATTGGCGTTGCGAGCGTTCAGGATTGCTAACACTAATCACTTCCTTGGGTGATGAAAACGCGTGAAAAATAATATCCTTCTTACGGTACGCACAAGTAGTACCTTGAACTTGAGCACGCGCATGGAATGCGCAAAAAAGTAATCCGGGCGATGTTCAAGGACACAAATGCTAAGAAAGTACCACTGTAATCGAAGTAAACAAACACGACGGCACGGGCGTTTCTGTTGTCTTGAGAGTGCCGCCACGAGATCGCCGCACGAGTAGGTGGATCTTCCCTTCTCGTACGTGCTGGGTTTTCATAATGACGGACGATTAAAATTCACAGAAAGGATAGCGCTTTTAGGGGGAACGATGAGCTTCCACCACGCCGTCCACGTCGACGATCACCACCGACGCCACGTTTCCAGATAGAATGAGCTCGGCACGACCGGCATGCAATGCGCGCGACCGAGCTCTCCTCGACCTGTGATTGGCCTGTCGCTCCCGTCGTTCCCGAAACTAACGAAAAAGTTCAGCCCGGCTCTACTCCTTGCATTGCAAACGAGCAGGAACGAAACGACCGTTTGGCGCTTCATTGCTCTCGTAACTCGTCGTTCCAACCGGTTGCATTCGTTCGTAAGCATAGTGGTCGCTCCGAACGCAACTGTGTGAACGGGCCTTAAGAGGTGTAACTCCAAGGTTTTTCTTAATCGCAGTGGTAAACTTAGTCATCTGCAGGTTCCCAGGAATAAAAATGAATCCACCCACTTTATTTGTTTGTAGCAGATTAAAATGGCTATTCACACACACAAAAAAAGAAAAGATCTACGGTCCGTAGTTAATTTACGACAGGAGCTGGAGGGCGTTAGTAGCGCAGTTCAGCAGGCATTCTAGCCCATCCAAAACACAGATTTCTTTTATTCTAGGGAACAGACTTTTCTGATGCCAGCTGTGCAACATCCAACAATTCTTTCTGCTTCGTACTAGGTTCAACACTACTTCGGTCCTATTTCCAGAACTCGAGTTACATGTTCAGAAACCTGTGCATCTCATAAATCCGTCAGGTTACACCGCCTATTCCCTCGTGCACAATAACTCCTGTAAATTTCACTTACGACACGTTAACACAAATATATTGCGATCCTGGTCACAAGCTGCATATGCTCTCGATGGTATCGGTACCCGAAGGGGGGGGGGGGGGGGGGGAGGGGGTAGATCAGCTACGGAAATTCAATATCTTTAGGTAGTCGTGTAGAAAGCATGCTTACCTCCAGCTCTCTGACTTTACTATCTTGCTGATGCTCTAGGCATGCCCATCGGAATGAAGAAGAAACCCGAATATGCTCTCAATCTCAGGAGGCACATCTTCCGTACCATTA